TATTATATTTTATCTATCAATAAATCGTTAAATATATTTATAACAAATGAGTCATTTGATTAAATTACAATACAAGAAAGAGTGTTATATATATTAGAAGGAAAGTTAAATAATCATTGGATTTTTGATCAGCAAGATATACTTCAATTTATATTATAACTTCTTAAATATTAAATAAAATACATATATCAGGAATGTATATATTTTTGCATTGTCTACGTTATATAAAGGGTTGTTGACATAATAATAAAGTTATAAATAGTGACTAAAGATTAAGAAAATCCCCACTCCTACCCGCAACACCTGCCAATATTTCCCGACACTGAAAATGTTACTTTAAAAACTTGAAAGGCAATGTAGCCTTGATAAATAAAAACCGAGTATATTTTAGTCTTTGACCATAACGCTATGGTCAGAGACTAAAATATAAAACCATAACGCTATAGTTCTGCCACTAATTAAGACTAATCTACTGTTTGATATCAGATAAAATGAATGCTGTATTTATTCTAATTCATATTTGCAATCTGTATTGTATTTATAATTGTTAATTAATTCAGGAAATCAAAGCCTTAGATGAAGATAAGTAATTGAAAACTTTATTTTTATGTATTTCCTCTATTAGGAAAACGAGCGCGGTTTTTATTTATCAAGGCTACATTGCCTTTCAAGTTTTTAAAGTAACATTTTCAGTGTCGGGAAAAATTGGCAGGTGTTGCGGGTAGGAGTGGGGATTTTCTTAATCTTTAGTCACTATTTATAACTGTATTATTATGTCAGCAACCCTTTATATACAGTAGACAAAGCAAAAATATATACATTCCTGATATATGTATTCTATTTAATATTTAAGAAGTTATATGTAAATTGAAGTATATCTTGCTGATCAAAAATCCAATGATTATTTAACTTTCCTTCTAATATATATAACACTCTTTCTTGCATCTTAATTTGATCAAATGACTCATTTGTTATAAATATATTAAACGATTTATTGATAGATAAAACATAAAAAAGGGGAGTAATCAAATGTTGAACCCGCATTTGATTGGTTAATCTGGATTTTGAATCTCGAAACTCGAATCTCGTATTTCGAACCTCGAATCTCGAATGAGTCTTTTAATTGGTAAATCTGGATTTTGAATCTCGAAACTCGAATTTCGAATCTCGAATTTTGAATCTCGTATTTCGAAACTTGAATCTCGAATGAGCCTTCTGGGCTTTCGTACATTCGAGATTCAAGTTTCGAAATATGAGATTCAAAATTCGAGATTCGAAATTCGAGTTTCGAGATTCAAGATCCAGATTAACCAATCAAAAGGCTTATTCGAGATTCGAGGTTCGAAATACCAGATTCGAAATTCGAGTTTCGAGATTCAAAATCCAGATTAACCAATCAAATGCGGGTTCAACATTTGATTACTCCCCTTAAATATGTTTTTACTATCAAGAAATCATTTAATATGTTTATAACAAATGGCTCATTTGATTAAATTATAATGCAAGAAAGAGTGTTATATATTATGGAAGGAAATTCAAATAATTTTTGGATTTTTAATCAGCAAGATATACTTCAGTTTATATTATGACTTCTTAAATAATAAATAGAATACATATATCAGGAATATATATATTTTTGCATTGTCTATTTTATATAAAGGGTTGTTGATATAATAATAAATTTATAAATAGTGACTAAAGATTAACAAAATCCTCACCCCTACCCGCCACACCTGCCAATTTTTCCCGACACTGAAAATGTTACTTTAAAAACTTGAAAGGCAATATAGCCTTGATAAATAAAAACCGTGTTTGTTTTCCTAATAGAGGGAATACTCAGTACATAAAAATAAAGTTTTCAATTACTTATCTTCATCTAAGGCTTTGATTTCTTGAATTAATTAACAATTATATATATACAATGCAGATTGCAAATATGAATAGGAATAAATGCAGCATTCATTTTATCTGATATCAAACAGTAGATTAGTCTAAATTAGCTGCAGAACTATAGCGTTATGATTTTATATTTAAGTCTCTGCATGACCATAGCGTTATGATCAAAGATTAAAATATACTCAGTTTTTATTTATCAAGGCTACATTGCCTTTCAAGTTTTTAAAGTAACATTTTCAGTTTCGGGAAAAATTGGCAGGTGTGGCGGGTAGGGTTGAGGATTTTGTTAATCTTTAGTCACTATTTATGAATTTATTATTATGTCAACAACCCTTTATATAAAGTAGACAATGCAAAAATATATATATTTCTGATATATGTATTCTATTTAATATTTAAGAAGTCATAATATAAATTGAAGTATATCTTGTTGATAAAAAATCCAATGGTTATTTAACTTTCCTTCTAATATATATAACGCTCTTTCTTGCATTGTAATTTAATCAAATGACTCATTTGTTATAAATATATTAAACGATTTATTGATAGATAATATACAATTATTGCTGGTTTTTGAGGTCAATACAATGATTTAGCCATCTGAGGAGTACAATATTCACCGAGCCCGAAGGGCGAGGTGAATATTGTACTTCGAAGATGGCTAAATCATTGTATTGACCGAAAAAACAGCAATAATTGTTTTATTATATGATTCACTGATAAAATGATACAGCATATTTTATTAAGTCCTAGTCAAATAGAAGAGAGATGCATAATTGAAATGTGAATAAACCTTACCAGTCGTATCAATTTGAAACGTTTTTTTTTAATCAATTTTAATTGCCATGAAAAAATATATAATGTCAGTCTTTTTTATAGGATAGATTTTGAAAGGAAAGAGTATTATCAGGGAAAACTGACTACCAAAAAGTAAAAAAAAAGTATAAAAACAAAATTGTTGTTCAGTAAAAGTGTTGGAGGGGGTCCCTGCATCCCCTCTTACCACCCTCACCTAAAATATATATTCGCTTATGCTTTGTTCACATGAAAATAAAAAAATCATAGTTGTTTAAATAGCTTTCTAAAACAATTGTATCAATTTGAAATTTCACAATATATTTTTAGATCAATGTAGAGGAAATAAATTCTTGTATTGACCTGGAACGTCACGTGCAGGTCAATACAACGTAATATTTTTCTAACATAGTTGGATCTCAGCCAATCAGAGAGATCGAAATTATTCAATCATATAATAAAACATAATAAAGGGGAGTAATCAAATGTTCAACCCGCATTTGATTGGTTAATCTGGATTTTGAATCTCGAAACTCGAATTTCGAATCTCGAATTTTGAATCTCGTATTTCGAAACTTGAATCTCGAATGAGCCTTCTGGGCTTTCGTACGAATGAGCCTTCTGGGCTTTCGTACTGATTAGAAAAAGCAAAATCAGAATGAATCTGGATATAAAGAGGTATTTATTGCATGACAAAGTTCTTTTTTACTGGACTATAGTAACCTTCAATCTGTGAATGTGGATGTGTACATGGCCTGTTTTTATTGGGTTTTTATTTCTTTTAAGATTGACATTTAATCCATATACTAGCTTGGATCAGTTTAAAGCATTGGAGTAAGTGATGAATTACAATACTAATAATAATAAAATTCTGTGAAAATGTACATGTGATTGGAGAAATGTACAATGACTTGAGAATTATATCTCTTAAACCAAAGAAATTTAATTGCAGACAATCTGATATACACTGTAAGAGAGTGAATTGGTTTTTTTAAATATTGGATTGGTGCGCTATTGTCTATTGAACAATAATGTCAATCCTGGAATTCAAAATACTGTGAAACAAGAAGTGTTTATAATGATTCAAAATGAGACTGTTAAGATGTTTTCAAAGACTTGTGGATATGTTAATTATAATTTTAAAAAATCAAATTTAGTGTTTTATAGATGATTTGTTACTTATTATTTGTTAGTAGTTTGTTAGAGTGTTTTGTTAATCTCATTTGCATGTGATTTGCTATACTATTGAAATACTTTCAAAACACAGTGTTTCGTATGTAGTTTGTTAGAGTGTTAAGTTAGTAGTATGTTAGAGTGTTTTGTTAGTAATTTATTATAGTCTTTTCTTAGCTCAACGCATGTGATTTGCTTTACTATCGGAATACTTTCAAAACACAGTATTTTGTTAGCAGTTTGTTATAGTATTTTGTTTGCCCTTTTTTCATTTGGGATAAACTGAGAACGGACTGACAATTCCGGTTTGCTTTCTCACATTTCTACTCTGGAGTTTTTGAATTATACTTTTAATAATGTTCATTAATGCACACCAAAATCTTTTCTTTAGTATTAAGGACAAAGTCTATTTTGTGAAAGAGCAAGGATGTGCCAATTAAACGCGTACCGAACATTGTATGTTTAATATTTTCCCGATAAAATACGTCGTTTTGTTATATTTCCGTGTGAAATGTTGTAGCAACATATATTAAAGTCATGATATTTTATCGAACATTTAAGAAAGTGCTTACTTCAGATATGTGTTGAAGCCTTTTTTCAATAATCCAGAATGTAAAAAAAACCTTTTTTTTTATTAAAACTGTAGTTCCCGAATTTCATTTATGCATAAATAGGAGAGGACTTGAAAATAAAGTCGACGAGCCCAATACAGTTGAATATATTCACATAAAATCTAAAAGGTCTAACCGATTTCCTATACAGTGGACCTTCAGATATCCGGATGCTCTAGTATCCGGACGACTTTTCCTCGGAACAGAATTTTTTAATGTTATCTGTTCTTGTTTAACTGCCGATTCAGGTATCCAGACTCTTCACATATCCGGACAAATTGACTAGGAACCAAAGCTTCCGGATAAATGAGGCTCCACTGTACCTTGACTTGCGATGTCTAACGACAGATATATGTGTCATTTCAGTGTATAAAGATAACATCGTGTACTATATGATTTACCTATTTATTTTACAAGTAGATTGCAAGTTTTGTTGCCCCTAAATTATATCAGTAAAATGGTTATTTTTTTTTTTCTCAAAGCGTTTTTTCACCGCAATTGTGTTTAAAATCAGAAAACAAAATATCTGACTATCATATTTGATTATTACTTATACGTGTATATAAGTTTATATTTATATTTTTAAAGAGTCAGTCCATAATTATGGTATACTATGTTTTAATTTTATCACATGGTGCGACAACATGAAAAGTACAAAATGTGTTGGAAACTTCCGCAATGTTTCACGATATTTTCTGGATAAAGCACTGAGTGTCAACATTGACTGTTAAGTCATTGTGTAATCTATACTTTAAACATTATGTACCTTCGTTCAAAACTTATTATTAAATGTTATGCACTTAAACTCTTCTTCATTTCGCTCTGCTCAACAAGTTCATCAATTGCATTAACTGGGGATCACGTATGTCTAAGGTAATTATTCTGAAATATTGTTCATTACAAAAGCAAACCAAAACTTTTTACTTTTATATTAATTATTTTTCTGTCGTTTGTTTTAGTAAAGAGAATGAAACATTCTGTTGCACAGACTATGAAGAAAGAAATAATTTGTGTGTTGGTAAATTGAGACTTTTTAAAAAATTAACTCTTTTATAGCTACATAATACATATTTCAATTATTATAAATATTGTCCTAAATGTTTTTTTTAAATAAATACTTTCAATTAAAGATTTCATACCTTTATCTAATTGCATTACTTATCCATGTTGATATAAAGAGTGCAGACCTGGATTCAGAGGGGATAACTGCAGTTTGAGATGTCCAGAAAATTATTATGGTCAGCAATGTAAAATGCAGTGCAAGTGTAAAGTATCTGAGTACTGCCATTATGTATGTGGCTGTGTTTCAACTCTCACCGAAGCTTTTAACGACACACAGATGATTGACAATGTCACCAACATGGAACAAAACGTTAACATCACAGATATTACGCAGACCCTTTCAGTGGAATCATGTTTATCTTCAACAAAAAAATCCATCGAAACAACAGTCAACAACGTTGGAAAAACAACTGGTAGTATAAGTTACCATTCTATATATAGCAAAAAATTAAAAAGTTTTTTTTTTAAGAAACAAAATTAATCTACAAATATTGGCGTTCATTAACTACATTATGTATCAATTTTGTGAGTTTTCTTAAACAAAATTTAAATTATTTGTAGTAACATCTCAATTTCAAACTATTACGTCGTGATTGTGATATAAAATACCAAGAAGATTGAGCACTGTCAAAATGACGATTTTCCTTAATGAATCATGACTTGAACGTTGTGTATCTTTTACAGTAAATATCACTGAAATAAGGATTTACAGTACTGAAAACGACGATGGTAATTTATTTGAAATATTTTGATAATCTTATGATTAAAAGAAATAAAACATCCCCTTATTTGCTTTTTGATTAAACAATAAGGAGAAATACGTGTATAATTATAAATGATAATACTGCCAGTCTTAGCATTTTGTCACTTTTAATGAATACCTGTATCTTATCCAAACGAAGAAAACATTAACAGTTTGTAAACAAATAAAAAGACCTCATCAATTGAGCAGATAAATAGCCTGTGGAGAAAAAACATAATCCTGAACAAAGTAACTTCGTAAACATGAAGAAAAAAAATACGAAAGCCCATTACTTTGGATTTGGAAAAGAAATGTGTTGAATCCCCCCAAAAAAATCGTGAAGAAGGCAAACCACAGACCCTTGGAAATCAATATTAAAGAAAGAATCAGGAACAGAAGGGAAGAAAGCATTCCCTGCATGTCGACCAGTCAAACATGTCATGGGCCTTTTTACTTGATTCAGTATCTTTAATGGATGTGTGATTTAAGAATAAATGCATAATTTTTTCTGGTAATATTTCAATACGTATTTGCAAATCAATTTAAAAACAAAGTACAATGAAAATATCGATCAACCATTTGTTTTCTTTTATAATCTAACAGATAAAGCATTCAACCTTCACGACAACACAGTTTTGACTGTATTTCTTGTCGTACTATCATCTGTGTTATTTGCCTGCTTGCTCCTCTTTTTTGGAATAACTTGCAGGTAAAATAGATATTTATTTTTTCTAAGTAACAAACCAGTCATTAAACCATAGGATAAAATATTCTACTTATTGTATAAATAAATATATTGTAGAAAATATCATACCAAAATGAAAGAAGGACATAGTAAGTAAATGATGAAATATTATTTTATCACCTATTCTTAGCAAGAAAATGTAAACCAATAACAGTGTAGCTTATTACTTCTCAGACGTACTTTACATGTCCATGTCTATTGATTATTCACTCTGATAAAACTTGTCTCATGTGGATTAAACGTACTAGGAGTAATATTTCAAAGTATTTAAGTTTTTTTTTCTTTCAAAAAAAAATCAATTTCATTTTATTTCCTATATTGAATTATAAATATCACAATTTAATCATTTCTCAAATGAGATTAATAACGTACGTGTTTTTTTTATGCAAAGAAAGAATACAGATTATTATTTTCATATTTTGAGACACGTTTAGTAATAACCATCACCTTGAAAAAGAAAAGAAATATATAGGTAAAATCCGATTAGGTCAGTTAGTTGAGTGCTGAAGAGAATACAACGTGAGTAACTCACCAAAGAAAGTCAATTGTACCGTCCACTAATCAAGAAAGCAAATTATAACATAATGAAAGAAATAAAAGCAAGTTGTTTATTAAAACCTACTGAATCGTAACGTGTACTATAAATGGAATTCAAAATTGATAATATGAACATATATAAAACTTGATAATTTTCAATGAAGATTATAAAGCACCTAACAAAAATTATATTATGAAATAAATTTGAAATTCAGATCCCAAAATCCTTTAAATAAAATTGTTATTAACTAGAGGTGTCATTCAAATTGACCTAATTGAATTAGAAATAAAAAACTAAAACTTTTAAAAAGAAATTTGTTGCTTGATATTCCAAATTGATATTTCATTTATTCTTTTATATTTAAAGATGGTGTTCATAATGCGTTATACATATCTCAAGAAGGAGACAGAGAAAACAACCCTGTAAGCAGAGAAGTTACATCTGGAGATCCAGTCTATGGTTCCTGTGAAGACCCTTGTTATAGTACATTAACACTGAGGGTGAACTATGGCCCTACACATCCATGTAATCAAAACGGATCCACTGAGGATGTTAATCCCTATGGCTATACATATAAAGGGGAGGGAAATGTGGTTAGAGTACAAGGAACGAAGGACAATAATATTTATGTGGATAAAGAAAGCGTACATGTACAAACACATATAAGCTCAACTCAAGGACAGTATGAAGACCCATGGAAAAATGATTGTAATAACTCCCTTTTGCGTCACTCTTCTCAAAGGAGGTTTGACCTTATGCCATATGATGGAACTCTCAGTCCTATACGTGGAAAAGAATATGGACCGTACGATCTGGCATCTAGCAACTAAATGCGAAAGTCTCTATCAGGAGAAGTAACACTAGTATCCTGTAAACGATGAAAGGTCGTCTCATTAGTATATTAAGTAAATATTAAGTAAATCATTGAGTGTTGTCTCAATAGAAACAATGAAATTTATTTTTTTTTAAAAGTTTATCATCCACCTCAAAGCGAAATTTATAATGTTTCACTCGTGTTTGCTTAAATTTGAAAGCTACTCATATTACTGTGTCGCCATTTTAAAGCCGTTAAAAGTTGTTTGAGTGGATGAAATAGAAATATGTTTCCCATGACCTATCATAAATTTTACTTTCAGGTACATATCCTTCATTTCGTTTTTTTTCTTGTTCAACTCTTGTATATATTTGAACGAGAAGACCTGCTTTATTTTCCACAAAATGTAGCAATACACACATTAAACATAAAATTAAAGTTTAAGAATCACGAAAGTAGTACAATATGTATGTATAAACTATATAATGTATATTTCATGAAACCATACTCCTTGTTTGTTAAAAATTCAGAAGATGAATAGATTGTCTCATATGTTAAATATTGTAAGGTATGAACTACAATACATAAATTAAAGTCAAAATTCAGTCATTTATTTTGAACTTTGTTTTGAAGTATCAGCAATGAGGAAGAGAAAACTAAATATAATTCAATTATTGAACATCCCTATGTAGATTTTTTTTTGCTGATTAGTGTGTTTGGAAGCGCTGATGTTTTGTTTTAAGATTTATTCATTAACAAATATAGTCAAGAAATACGATCAACATTTTTAATTTTCAAAAAATGATATAACATGCAAAATCATATATTTCAAGATTACGACTTGAGTTTATACAAATAATAAATTATTTAAAAAATCGGAAGATTTGTTTATAACTATAGTGAAAATTTTTCAAACAATTGTTTTTAAATATTGTCCATTTTATTTGTTTCTTAGAAAATAATATTACAAATGTGACCCGTTGATAAAGTCAATCTAAGGATATATTGACTTCAAAGAAGGGGGTCGACTTTGTGTTTAGTCATTATGTTTTGCTATGATGTCATTATATAAATGGATTTACCTCATAACAGAGAGAAAGAGAAAAAACGAGAGAGAGAGAGAGAGAGAGAGATTTTATTATTTAGCTGTATTTCTGAAAACAAATTTCTCTACACAGAGAAAGAAGAAAAATTGTTTATAAACATTTTATATGATTCAATAATTTAAAGAAAAAGTGACAAAAAGGTTATTAATTTTAGAGAAAATGTGACAAGTAAAATGTGATATTTTCAATCTTTAAGTCGTTTATAACCTGGATGGAGATGATCAGGAACAGCAACATGTCACCAATAAACACAGAAGCAAACAAGATGCACTAAATGCTCCTACGATAATTCTGAATTTTAGAGCTTCGCTTATGTCAGTCCATTTTGCAAGCAGTCCTGAAAAAATTAAATTATTACTATCTTTAGGTAATATATAATCAGGAAAATGAATTTGATATTTTTTATTTCAAATAAATATATTATTTAACATTATCTGTGACTAATGTCCAATTCATTGTCAAGGAAAACATTATACATTTTATTGATTGGGTTCAAGGGCAACATGCCTTTTGTCGGCCTTAAGAATTAAATACTTTTGTTCGAGGGGTCGATAAAACGTATTTAGCTGGAGAAAATATAAATTCTTTATTTATTTTTGGAATGTGCGAATGTCGAACATCAACGAATATAAATGAATTTAGTTGAACCGCTCATTGTGTGACATGAACAGTCCAACATCTCATCGACAGGTCCAACATATCATCTGCGGTCAAATATCAAATTTGTTTTAATCACCGCTCAGCACTACATTGGAAATATTAGACTTTTATCAATATTGATTTAAATAGGAATACATTTTAAAGGTAAAACAATATGCAACCATTGCCTTTTTTAAGGTCAGTATGATGATGATGAAGCTATGCAAGGAGTACAATATTCACCGAGCCTGAGGGGTTCGAGCAGATGTACATAATTTACTATTTTATGATAATTGCAAAACTGCATATCAGCCAAAAATTTATTAAATTTGTATTTTTTATTTATTTCCTTGTTACTTTTCCCGCCTGAAAATAGTACATTTATTCTATATTCATAATAATTAAAATGCATTTATTTAAAAATATCGAAGGAATAAAATTCTGAATATTTTTAAATTTATGATAATAATTATATTATCATCAGTAAATATACAGCCTTGAAATTTGTCTATTTTCATTAATTTTGGCGCGGAAACTTAAGGACTTACCTTCACATCCTGTTTACTGTGCAGACTTGTCGGATTCACCTCGACAATTGATTTCCTGGTCACATTTTAGCCTTTTGTCAGATAACGTCAATGCACCGAAACTCATTCTCGGAGCAGATCTTGGTCTCTGGCTCCACATTATGAAACCTTTAATAGAATATAAATCATTCAAAGAGTGTCTTGTGGATTCGATTTATGCTTTGCATTCAAATACAAATCAAGTCAAATGCATGAACCCTTAATTTTTAAATAAGTAAAAAGACTGCTATAAAGTTAAACCAAGTGAATTCTCCGGAGTCTAGGGACCAAGTACTGTTATCTGTGAAACGTACAAAATCGATGATTGATATGTTTTTTTCTATTTGATGTATCCATATTCTTACTACTTTTTTTTATTATATAGAGAATTCAAGAGTAAAGCTGCATATATAATTTCTTTTTAATTATAAACTCTGGGGTAAGGATGGGGTAAAATTTACTTTAAAATTATGCATGATAAATGCATAAAGAAAAAGCAAAAAATGATTTAATAAGGATGCAAAAACAAACTTTAAGCTGTGTTATATATGGAGTTTTATGAAGAGACTTACTTTTACAATCGACGAATGACTTTTACAATTTATACATAGACCAACTCCATTACTTAAAATGTAAAAGTCAGCTTTCGAATGTAAAAGTAAGTCTCTTCATTAAACTCCTATAGTCATATATATTGTTCTTTTCCGAATGGATGCAGGTATGGTGAAGACATCTCTCTTTGAGACTATGAATGGGCGACAAAATTGAAGGTTATATTGTGCACTGTGTGCAGTGTTGTCAATTAAGTGAACTCGATCTGCACACATCACACTGAGCACGGACTCACAATTCTGGTAACTTGGTTTCGTTTCTCACATTACTACTCTGATTTTCTGAATTAAAGTTAAATTATTTTTAATTAATACACAACCAAATCTTTACCTTTTTTAGTATTAAGGACAACGGTTACTTTATGAAAGTGCAAGGTTGTGTCATTCAAACACGTCCCGAAATTCGTAGTTTTAATTGTTTCCCTATAAAATAAGTTTTTATTATATTTCCGTGTGAAATACTATAGCAACGTATAAATCATGATATAATATCGAACATACAAGAAAGTGTTTCTTCAAATCTGTGTTGAAGCCTCTTTACAATGATCCACAATGTAAAAATAACTTTTATTAATAAAACCGTCGTTCACGAATTTCATTTGTACAACATTTGAAAACAAATTGGACAAGTCCAATATACAGCTGTAGTTGAATATATTCATATAAAATCTACAAGGTCTAACCGATTTCCCATACCTTGACTCGGGATATCCCAGGGTCGCATGTTACTCACAAACACCTCCACTTCTAAAGATATGAAGTCCTAAAATTCAGAATCCCATGGGAGAATGGTGGGATTTTCCGTCCCTTCAACTATCCAACCATTCTCCCATTGGAGAAAAATGTCAGATGGGATATTTTCTCTCATAAGGATTTTTTCTCCCACAAATTTGCTTAAATGGGATAAATCCCATGGATATTGACAATTTCTCCAAAACATTGTGAAACATGGAATATATCCCATAAATTATGACAGTAACAAATCTCTCATCATTATATATAGAATTGTTCCAAATATAGCAATGTATTGGAGAAAATAATTCAATGTCAATATCCATGGGATTTATCCCATTTGAATACTGAGTAAATATATAAGGGAAAAAAATCCTCTAAGAGAAAATATCCCATCTGATTTTTTTTTCTCCCATGGGAGAATGGTGGAATAGTTGGTGGGACTGAAAATTCCACCATTTTCCCATGGGATTCTGAGTTTTAAGACTTCATATCTTTAGATGTGGAGGTGTTTGTGAGTTTAACATGAGACCCTGGGAGACTGCTAAGAAATCCCACCAAGTGATTTACAAATATTTTGGATATCATAATTAGAAATGGTACTAAAAAGTCTGGACTATGTAGTGTCCAGAGTTAAATGTTGTACAGTTCTTTACTATAATTCTGTATCACGTGGTGTGACTACATGAAAAGTATAAAATGTGTTGAAAACTTCCGTAATAGATCGGGATAATTTTAGGCTAAAGCATCGAATGTCAAAATTGCCTGTTAAGTCACTGTGTAAATCTATAATATAAATAGTATGTACCTTCGTGCAAAATTCATTGTGAAATTTTATGGATTTACGCAATTCTTCATTTTGCTCTACTCAGCCAGTTCATCAGTTCAATTGACTGGGGAACATGTATGTGGAAGGTAATCATTCTCCACTGTTGCTCGTTAAAAAAAGCAAACTAAAACTCGTCATTCTTCTTTATCTATTATTTTCAGTCCTTTTCTTTAGTACAGGGAATGTAACGTATTGTTGTAAAAACTATGAAGAAAGAAATAATATGTGTGTCGGTAAGTAAGAGATATATCTTGTTCAAAAACTTTGTCCAGATATTTCAATTAAGCATGTTTCTTGATTCCTTTTTTATTTGCATTATGAATCCAAGTCTTGGAATTACGTTTGAAATTATTCCATGCCTTTATTTTATTCTTTTATCCACCCATGTTGACACAAAGAGTGCAGATCTGGATTATGGGGAGATAATTGCAGCTTGACATGTCCAAAAAATCATTATGGTCCGCGATGTAAATTTGAATGCGAGTGTGACAAATCTGAGTATTGTCATCGTGTATGTGGCTGTGTGTCAAATTTGACCAAGGCTTTTGACGACACACAGAAGATTGACAATGTCATCAGCATGCATGACATTAAATATACAGATATTACACAGACCTTTTTGATGGAAGTATGTTTATCTTCAACAATAAAATCCATTGAATCAACTGTCAACGACGTTGGAAAAAGCACTGGTAGTATAACTTAATATTCTATGTAAAGCAAAAAATTAGAAACAAATTAATGTTATTTTCAAGAAACATAATTTGGCTACATCTTATATTGATGTTCAATAACTACAGACTGTGGACAAAAGTATCGGAACGATTTACGTTAGTTTATTTATTGATGCACATGTTCGCGTTATTTATAGCTGGCATTTTCGGTGTAGACACAATTTGATGCTACACCTTGGGTACTTTTAGGTTGATGACTACTTCCTGTTTACATTAACTACGTCATTATTTATCGTCTGCAATCTAAAAGTAAGTAAATCTGTCCCCAAAAATCATGGCTGAGAATCGTCATTATGCATCGGATGGTCTTAAAAATTCCGTTGTTTTATTAGTTCAAAATGGAAATTCTTTTCAAAAAGTTGCAGATATGCTTAAAATGTCTAAAACAACTGTGCATCGAATTTATAAAAATTTTTGTGAACGAGGAACTGTAAAAACTGCCCCGAAAACAGGTAGGAAAAAAAGTTTGAGCGATCGTGACGGGAGAAGAATTTTGCGAGAAGTGAAAACTAACAGGAAAACTCCGCTGGCTGATTTGACGGAAACATTCAACAACAATGAAAACAGAAATGTATCTAAAAAGACAGTTTGGCGATTTTTGAAGAAACAAAAATATCATCGCTGTGTTTGTAAGAAAAAAATAAGGATTTCCCCTGTAAACAGACAGCGGAGAGTAGCATGGTGTCGTGCGAAATCAACATGGACAGACGATGACTGGAAAAAGGTAATCTTTTCAGACGAGAGTCAAGTTGTTATTGGCAGTGACAATAAAGTTTACATCTGGAGAAAAAGTGACGAAGCATTTAGACCAGATTGCATTTCACCAATTAAAAACAAGAAACTTTCCGTGATGGTTTGGGGTTGCATTACCTATCATGGCGTCGGGACATTAACACGTGTGGAGGGAAACATAAATTCAGATAAATATATTCAAATTATAGATGACAAACTATGGCCAGTGATAGCAAGACACTTTCCGGACAATAATTATATTTTTCAAGATGATAATGCACCAGTTCATCGGTCTAGGGCAACGAAAGCTTTCATGGAAAACAGCCATATCAATACAATGGAGTGGCCAGCGCAGAGCCCCGATATTAACATCATAGAAAATTTATGGTTAAAGATTAAAAGAAAAATAGAACAATCCATGCATGAAATAACATCTGTGGAACAATTATATGATAAAATATTTTCAATTTGGACTCGTTTTGATTGCGTAACAATTCAAAATTTATATCGATCTCTCCCCTCAAGAATCGCCGCGGTACGTAGGGCCAAAGGATACATCACAAAATATTAAGGTAAGTTTTAAAAAATAACCTTTGTTTTAATCAGAGAAATGCAAAATTGTTTCTTCTTTCAGAAAATGTAATTTATATTTATTAGCTTTTACGTAATATGGCTATTTTAAGCATCGAATCAAACGCGAGTATTTTCCAAATATAAAACGACGACTTAAATCATTCCGATACTTTTGTCCACAGTCTGTACATTATGTATCTCTGTGTCGGTTATTTGAATAAAATTCAAATCATATGTATAAACCTCTTAAATTCAAACTATTATGTCGGAATTGTGAGAAGATTGCGTACAGTCAAAATGACGATATTCATCAATGAATCATGACGTGAACATTGTAAAATCTTTTACAGTAATAAATATCACCGCAATAGGGATTGACACTGCTGGAAAAAAAGATGGTAAATTATTTGAAAAATGATAATCTTATGTATAAAAGAAATAAAATACCTCCTTAGATGCTCTTCAATTAAACAAAAAGGGGATATATATAATATATAATAATACTGCCAATCTAAAAATGTTGTCAGTTTTAATGAATAGAATACCAATAATGCGATTGAGAACGATCTGATAAAATTTCAATAAGTACATGTACGTGCAAATCAATTAAATAACAAAGTACAATGAAAATATCGATCAGCCATTTGCTGTCTTTTATTTTCCAATAGATAAAGTTTTGAATGTATTTCTTGCCGTACTGCCATCAGTGTTATTTGTCTGCTTGCTCCTCTTTTTCGGAATAACTTGCAGGTAAAATAGATATTTTTGTTTTTCTAAATGATTAACAAATCATTCAAAGAAAGGATAAAACACTGTACGTGCTGTACTGATGATATTAATAAATTTATTGTAGAAAATATACCAAAATAATTGAAGAAGTACACGGTAAGCCAATGATAAAATATTATTTTATCACCTATTCTATAGCAAGACTAGAATTTGAACCAATAACGGTGTAGCTTATTACCTTGACATGTCTGTTAATTATATACCTTAATAATATCTTCATAATCGTGCAAACTTGTCTCATTAAACATAAGGAGGTAACGAACAGTATTAAAGATCAAAAGTCCACAAAATAGGGGCAGAACAAACACGGACCTCCAGAACTACAGAGATGGGATCAGGTGCCATGGAGGAGTGAGCATCCCCTGCTGACCAATCACACCCGCCGTGTGCACCTTGTCATGATCTGGAAATAACGGAAAAATCCGTCGTCAATTCAGTGTATAAATAATGGACTAACAATTCATATGTAAAACGTCAGTCAGCATTTCATTCAATGATAAATTGTATTTGCTGACAAGGTCATTGTATCGACCATAGAAAATCTTGCTTCATCAGCTTTTTTTGTCAATAATTTACCTCGTTTTAGAATTGTTCATACGTAGAGCATGCTCTTGGGTATCGAATCAACTGAGATATACAAACTCCGTACGCAGGTGAAGAAGGTATACTGCTGCATAAGTATGGGCTCGTGTGGATTTAACTTACTAAAAGTAAGGTTTCAAAGTTTTTAAGGTTTTTCTAATCAATTTCATTTTTATTCCTTTGCTGAATAAAAAATATCACAATTTAATCATTTCTCAAATGAGAGTTATAACGTATGTGTTTTTATCGAAAGAAAGTATTAAAATTATTATTTTCATTTTTGAGACAAGTTAATTATCAACATCTTTTAAAAGAAAAGAACTATAAAATCCGGTAAGGTCAGTTGAGTGCTGTAGAGAATACAATGTCAATTACTCACCAAAAAAAAGCCCATTGCACCTTCTACTAATCACAAAAACAAATTATAACATAATGAAAGAAATAACAGCAAGTCATTTGTTTAAAACCATGTGAATCGTAAAGTGTACTATAAATGGAATTGAAAATTGTTCATATAAACAGATAAAAAACCTTATAGTTTACAATTGTCATATGAAGAGAGTAGAGCAACATAACACTCATTATACGGGTATATATATTTTTAAAAAATCAAATTCAGATCCAAATATTATTTAGATAAAATTGTTATCAACTAGAGGTCTCATTTAGATTGACCTAATTGAATTTATTTTTAAAAAAGCTGAAAATTATAAAAAGGAACTTATTACTTGGTATTCCAAAATGATATTTTATTTCTTTTTATATTTAAAGATGGTGTTCATAATGCGTTATACATAAACCAAGAAGGAAACAGAGAAAGCAACCCTGTAAGCAGAGAAGATACGTCTGGAGATCCACTTTATGGCTCCTGTGAAGACCCTTGTTATAGTACATTAACACTGAGGGTGAACTATGGCCCTATACATCCATGTAATCAAAATGGATCTTCTGAAGATTTGAATCCCTATGGCTATACGTATGAAGGGGAGGGTAATGTGGCTAGAATACAAGGAACGAACGACAATAATACTTATGTGGATAAAGAAAGTTTACAAACGCATATGAGCTCTCCTCAAGGACAGTATGAAGACCCGTGGAGAAATGATTGCAATAACTCCATTTTGCGTCATTCTTCACAAAGAAGGTTTGACCTTATGCCAGTAGATGAAATTGACAGTGCTATACGTGGAAAAGAATATGGGCTTTACGAGCTGGCATCTAGCAACTAAATGTGAAAGTCTCTATCAGGCTGCCCAGATTGAGAAGCCAAGTATTCTCTACACTGCTTTTCATATGCCCTTGCCTGCCACAATAATAACGTTTGAATATTTTGTTTTGCAGTGCATTTAGATCTTTATTATTAATCTTTGATCTGAACCACCCTACCTTGAGTTGAAGAAGAAGTAACACTTGGATCCTGTAAACGATGATAGATCGTCTTATTAGTATATGAAGTAAATATTAAGTAAATCAATGAGTGTCGTCTCATTACAGACAAATAAAATTATTTTTTAAAAAAAGTTTTTAAGTTTTAAATCTCGCCTCAAAGCGAAATTCTATGATGTTTCATTCGTGTTTGCACAAGTCTGAAATTAAATTTGAAAGCTACTCATATTATAGTGTTGCCGTTTTAAAGCCGTTAAAAGTTGTTTGAGTGGTTGAAATAGAAATATGTTTCCCAGGGCCTATCAGAAATTTACTTTCAGGTACATCTACTTCAGACATGCGATATTATCCGCAAAATGCAGCATTACACATATGTATTAAACATAAAAGTTTAAGAATCACACAAGTAGTACAAAATATGTGGATATAATGTATATTTCATAAAACCATACTCCAGTTTGCTAAATATTCGCATGATGACTATATTGTCTCATATGTTAAATACTGTAAGGGGTCAACTACAGTAAATACATGTACATATTGAAGTCAACATTCAGTCATTTATTTTGACCTCTGTTCTGGATTATCAGTAATGAGGTAGAGAGAACTAAATATACATCAAGTATTCAACTTCCCTATGAAAATTTTTATAGCTGATAAGAAACAAATATAGTCAAATACATGTATAACGATCAATATTTTTATCAAAAAAAATTATGAAATCACAATTTTTCTACGCAGACTAGTCGGATTGATCTCGAAATTTAATTTCCCTTACGCCCTGACACTCAAGCCAAAACATTAAAACTAGTTCTTCGAGCATATCTTGGTCTCTGCTTTATAATATGAAAGCTTGAATAAAATATAACTCATTGTAAGATTTTTAGTGTTTTCAAGTTTCGAATATCGTTTTGCGTTCAAATAAACATGTACCCTTTAGCTAAGGAACAGTAAAGAGTAAATACCGACTTACTTCTTTGGACTGTTGCAACTAACT